ATTGTCATAACAAGTATCAACTATTAATGTTAATAATAACAAGTGTCATAACAAGTGTCATTTATTGTAGTATGAAAAAAAAAATAAATAAATATAAATATAAATATATATATATATATATATATATATATATATATATATATATATATATATATATATATATATATATATATATATATATATATAGTTTATAAATCGTTAGGAGATGAATAATTTATTTAAGATGCCATTAATTTAATGGCATCTTAAATAAATTTTTCTAATATGAATTTATAAATAGTATTTATTAATTTATATTAGGAAAATTTATTTAAGATGCCATTAAATTAATGGCATCTTAAATAGTATTTAAAGTACTATAGATAGATAGATAGATAGATAGATAGATAGATAGAGAACTACATATATAAATATAACAAAGATAAATATTTAAAAGAAAAAGCGTTTGCAGCTTGACGTCCATAAAAGACTACTTCAGAAAGAGTTAAAAAAAAATTAAACTCTACAATAATATTATTATAATTATTATTATTAACCTCTAGAATAATAAACATAAATTTTTAAACAAATATAGCAAATATCAAGAGTAATAAATAATATCAAGAAAGATATAAAAGTTAAGTTAAGTTAAATTGTTTCTTTGAAGTTGAGAAATTCCTAGTATTATAATTATTATTGTTATTATTATTATTTAATCTTTTTTAAAGTCAATTTACTATGCCGTGTTAGTAAAATATATTAGTAGTGAGTGGATATGAAAGAATGTTTCCACGAGAACGGTCGTTCTCACAAAAGTAACGCTGATAAATATATAATGGGCAGTCACAAAAAACCTGCTCATATTAGGCAAAGAAATCTACATCTGAAAAGCTACAAATTACCGATTTGAATCGCAATAAATTGAAACATCGTGTTATGGATCAAATTAAAAAAAAGGATTATTTAAACATGTTGACGGCCCTGTTGCATTGGGCACTACAATATCCGATAAGTCCGATGATTCCAAGAAAGTCCGATGATTCCAAGAAAGTCCGATGATTCCGATGATTCCGATGATTCCAAGGATATTTGCAGCAGCAGAAGCAGTTGGAGAAGCAGATGATAATTATTCTACCTACTCATTGGATAATAAATACATAAACTTGGCGTCGAATAATAATTGAGCAGCCAGTCCCGATTGCGTTAAAGAAATAATTATCCAGTATTTGGCCGAAATAACACAAAAAAAATTAGACTATAACACGTCAAGTAGTGACTGCTCACTTGATAATGATCCACCTGCTGCAAAAAATAGACAAAAGAAGTAGAAGCTGTCTTCATTCATCAAACATGGCCTTAGTTCAAATGACGTTCGTAATTATTTGCTATTTTTAGATTTAATTGTTGAACGCGCTGCTTCCGATAAGCATGAAGAAAGTGAGTTGAAATCTGCGCATGCTACATTTATCAACAACTTTTTCAGCAAATATTTGGAAAACGAAATTGCTGATAATGATGCTGCTGTTGACGCCAAAGAAGAAGTTAACTGCATAATTTGAAATCAGCTATGGGTCTGGAAATCAATGAAAGAATGAAAAATATCGCTGCTAAACATCCAAAGAAAGAAATAAAATGGGAAAATCTCCTAAAACATGTTGCTTCACATCTGGACACAATCGAAAACAACAGTTGTACTCAAATGTTGTCAAGTTCGAAGCTTGATCTTAAACTGGCAGAATTGCGAAAATCTGGAAAAGTATTAATGAAGTCATCGCGTCCTGAATGGAAACTGCCAGATTGGAGTGCAAGTTTAAATAAAAACTATATATTTATAATATACACTTATATTTATATTACATATTTATACAAGCCGTTACCGTGTGGTGAATTCGGAAAATATGCACATTACGGATTGCTTGATGGGTCACTTCAATTTTCGATAGAATCAATTCCCAAAGATATTTGCTTTTATCTTGATGAATTGGTTATTAGATTTCCTGAATACTTTGCCAAAAATTCTTACATATGCACATTAATATCCAATTTAGAGGAAAAGGTGGACATCGTTTCCACGCACAAATGCGCAACAGTTTGATGCGGGAAGAGATTTCAAAAACTGTTCTACCACCAATGTAAGTTATGATTCCAACTTAACTAAGATTTTTCTAATTCTGACTTAATTTTGAAAAGTGTAATTCCTACTCACTTATTTTGATTCTAACTTTTTCTAAACTTTTGTCAAAAAAGACGTACTCTACTCATTGGTGGGTAAAAATGGAGCAGAAACAAACATTGTACACTTTTCGAATTTCAATGAGAATAATTTTGGTGTCATCAACCAAATTACATCTGTCCATCCAATAAAATTTATCAAATGGGAGAGGAGGGAAACAAATTGAATGTCAAGTAACGCGCCATATGAAACGGTTGATTTTTTGGGACTTTACCATCTCCAAAAAATACCCGAACAATGTTGTACTTGTCACCAGTTCAATTGCAAACAAAAAGTCTACGTTGTTTCCGACATGCAATATGATGGTGTAGAAGGCAAATTCAAAGTGACAGTTGCTTCTTTTAAAAATATTTAAAAGATATCCGTGCAGTTCACCAGATTTCAATATTTTTCTAGTTTCTGCAGATATAAATCATGAGAAAAAACGCGAAGTTGATGCACACAGCATAGAAAATCAATTCGCCTGCCTCTTAAATGAGAAGGAAGTTGCTGACATTGATACTGATGCAAAAGAACAAGGTTGATTTAACAAAAAAATTGCACAGTGGACACCCTTGTTTCATGTTATGACTAGTCAGTAAATCAATTTTTCCATGTAAATATGTGTTCATTTCCGGTATAAAGTATATATTTTTAACATCAAAAATTGTTCAGTATTTATTTTAAATAATTAACAACTGACACTCGTATATATTTCTTGTAATAAAAAGAATTATAGGATAAAAATATTTATGTATCGAAATTAAGGCATCATAATTCTTACTTATTTGAATCTTACTTGAATCAATCCAATTAACTCGATATTAGTGTAAAACATTTTTCTAATTCCTAATTCCCACTTATTAGCCAAAAATGTCCAAAAATCGTCAAAAAACATTTTAATTACGACTTAAAATGGAGTTTTTCACACTTTTTTAAGTCTGATTCCGAGTTGCGTTCTATTAGGATAATGTAAACCAAAATGCTAATTACAATTTACAATGTTTTAGAATTTAAAAAAAGAAACCAACTAAGTTTTAAAATAGTATTAATATTTTCTGTTTATTTTTTATTACCGTAAAATTTAACAACAAAAAGATTGATGTTATTGATTGTAAATAAATAAAAAGTTTCCGGTAAAAAGTTTCCGGTAAAGCTTCCGATTGACCGAGATTTGATAGTGCAGCTTTGGTTCCATCGTCAGCTTTGATAAATTCTTTCCATCATAATTTTTTACTGATTACAGAAAAGCAACCAATTTGGTCACAGCCAGTAAACACATAAAAACTTAAAGAAAAAGTATTTCATGAAGAACCTTCTTATACAATGAGAAAAAAAAATTAAGCAGAAATATCTTGTGGTTGCTTAGAACCAATTGTTTGTAACATTTTTGAACCAAGATGCCATGTTCCTTATCTCCTCTAACAGTTTGGTGATCTTGATTCATTATATCTGCAGACAGATGTTCCTCATTTTTTTTCGTAAATTTAACAAGGCATTTGGCAAGAGCTTGGTGGGTTTCAATGGTTTTTAGTTTCCTAATAACTGCTTTAGTGACGTTTACAAATTACAGACTTATCAGTTACCATGTATTTGATTTAATTGCCAGAGGTGTTGCAAAAACTATCGTTTCTCGCTGCAGTTTTGAGACTTTTCTAAGCATGCAAATAAGTTTCGCAGCAAAGTCCTGAATAATACAAAAAAAATAAGTATTACGGTTGCATTATATATATTTTTTTATCAGAGGGCAATGGGTGACCATATTGACTAAACACTAATGCTTTTTTCCAAATCAAGCTCTAGGCGTTTTCTTGCATTAAGTAGAAAACAAGATAATCAGGTGAGCTTTTCTTTTAGTTGAATTACTTTATTACCTATCTTTGTGTTTGTAACATTGTCCTGATCGGAATGTTTTCAGATTTCTCATCTTCGTTGGCGACCATATAGATATGCCTTCTATTAACCTTTTAGTAACAAAAGAACAGTAGAGCTCTTCTCCGATCTTTCCACGATGAACTAATTTGTCTGTTACTTCTTTTGGTAAAATGGTTTTGGATACAAGATTAAAAACCACCTAATTTTTGTTGAAGTTGATGCCAAATGCTTTAAATGCATCAATGAATTTGTTTACATTAAATGAAATTCTTTCGTTTGTAGATCCTGGGAGTTGGTAGTGTTGTCTGCGAAATTGTGATTAAATATTGTATTTTTCACAAAAGATTTTTGATATGAAATTTAGAACAGGAGTATTAAGTCAAAAACGGTTTAAGTGAATTGGATTTTGCATAAGACCAATCACCCCCCCTGTTAACACTATAACACTAAGATGTTGCCAAACTTTTGTTTTCCTATTTTAAGACATGATCAGAACTAAGATTACAGAAAAAAAATGCCTGACTTGTTGAGGGTGAAATTTTTTTAAAGGTATTGCCAGAAAGTAATGTTTTTTTTTTCAGTTCGATCATTGTAGCGAGATACAGTGGTAAAAGACGTGCATAATTATATTCGTCATGAGCGAAGAACTAGGGGATCATTGCATCAAGCGACGAAAAGAAAGTTTTCAATGTCCCTATCGAGAAGCTCGAACAAATTGAACACTTTAACATAAAGTTGCGCAAAAATAAGCCTTGTTTAACTAATGTGTGATAAAAATTCTGGCATTTTTCTAGAATAGAATTTAATTGGAAATAGCGTTTGCTCAAAGGTTCTTTGTGTAGACTCTTTATCAATTTTTGGTGGGAGTTCTTGCGCATACTTTTTCATTATATTACGAATCTCTGGTTAAAGAAGGAAGAAAGCAATCCAAGTATAATTTGTTTAAAAATAGGTACAAAAATAATGAGTGCTTCAATACCACATTTCATGTGTTTACCTTCAAGAATCTGTCCAAGGGTGGTGAGGCCGTAAACATCTGCTTCTATCAATATATGATCGACTCCACTTCAAATAATGTATTTTCCGGTAGGTAGAATTATTCAAAAATAAAATAACAATATAGTTCGATTCAAAACATTCGCAATTGTAATTGTAAAGCTATGAAATATTCTATTTTATTTAAATAGAAAAAAGTATTGTAAAATCCGGAGGTTAAAAAAGAAACATTTTTGTGTAAAATTTGTTTTACATTATATAAATATTATAACAATAATTATTTATTAAATAATTATAAATAATAAATAACCCTGAAAATAAAAAAATAATCTAATAATTATGAATTTAGGATCTGTTTTCCTCTAATAATTAACAACAACAAACTTGCAAACCTGCATTTATTATTACGGCAAGTATTACGGTCTAAAATTAGAGCCAAATTATTATAAACATTTAAAATTTTATATATTTAAAACCTTTTTTATAAACTTAAACATTTTCATACTTTTTCATAACATATTTTATAAATATTTAGCTTTACTCAAATTTTTAGTGCTAAAGCGCAAACAGATTATATCTTACGAAAAAAGTAAAAAAACTAAATTCTATCGATGAACGCGCTATTGTAAATTTTTTTAAGGTACTGGAAAAAAAAAAGTTTAAAATTAATAACCCAAAAATAATTAAGTTGAGTAATATATTAAATTTTAAAAAACGTAATTCTTGATCTCAAATCATTTTTTTTTACAGAAGTTATTTATGATAGCTTTAAAAAAAAATGTTTATAATTAAAAAAAATGCCGAATCTAATAAAGCAATACATTGAGCATTAAAGACTGTTTAGGTACGTTTTATTTTTAGCTGAGTTAGAAATATTTATCAAAAAAATTTATTAATTAAACAAATAGTAATCCAAAAAGGCTAAACAAAATAAAAACACGAAAAAAACTTATTTTTATTTGAAAGACGTTTTTAAAAGGTTTTTTGTTAACGGTTATTTGACGACTGTTGTTTGCTCTGCTCAAAAACGTGATCGTTTGACTCTTGACGGGACTGTTCTTTCCTAGACTTTCTGAATCAAAAGAAATGTTATATTTATTTGCTTAGTTTAAGGCAAAGAATGTAGAGAAATCTAAATTTAAGAGACCGCGAAATTTGAAGTTTGTTTATGCTTGAAACGCGTGCTAAATGAAACTATAGAAATAACTTTAACGTGAAGCTTAAGGCAATGCTCAAACTATTTAAGCATAGTTGTCGTCTAACAAATTTGTTAAAAACTAATAATAATATATATATATATATATATATATATATATATATATATATATATATATATATATATATATATATATATATATATATATATATATATATATATATATATTATATATATATATACTAGTATATATTATATATACTAGTATATATAATATATACTAGTAATTATTAATGTTATTAACATTAATAATTACTTATACTGTCAATAATGCTAATATTATCATAATAACTGTTTTATTATTTAAATTAAAAACTGCAAAGACTTTAACTGCAATAACTTAAATTTTTCTATTGCAAAAACAAAAACTCCAATAACTCAAATATTTTTATTTCTATTTTTGATAGCTGTTTTTTTTTAGATATGGTATTGCTTCTTTATATGTTAGCAACATATTACTACAAGTAAAACTAGTTTAACAATAAGTTGCTAACAAAACGCACATGAGTAAAACATGAACTTAGTAAGGGAAAGTAGTTGGTAATAGCTTCACAATGCAAGATAGTGATGCTGAACTCCTTGAAGAACTTATATTAGCAACAGCATCAAGAAATATAAGGTAAGAATAAAAAAACTAATTTGTATGCAAAATAATCTTTATTAAAGCATAAAATTTCATTAAATATTTGAAGATTTGCATATATTTCTTAAAAGCGAAAATTCTGAAGTCAGCTCAAATTTTTTTTACTTTTTATATTTATTATCAAGTGACAAAAATTTAAATCAGTTTTTTCAATTTTTTTTTGGCCAAAAAGTTTTTGTTAATACTGATAAATGTTTTTCGCAACTTTTAGCAAAGTTGAAGAACTTATGCAAATTGGAATTGATCCATGTTCTCCAACAAGAGAAGGAATATGCCCTATTCATACAGCAGTTGTTCTTGAATCACCTTCTGGTCCTGAAATAGTTGCTAGAATGTTAAAGTATGGTGCTGATCCTAATACTAAAACATCCACAGGTTTATCACCTCTTCACATTGCAGCAATGTGGGGACGTGTAGACACTATTAATGTGTTATTAGACAATGGTGCTGATATTGCTGATAAAGATGATAGTGACATGAGTGCTCTAGATTATGCAGAAGTTGCAGATGAGAATAAATATGCTTGCATTGATGCCCTAACTGAATTTCGTGGAGATGTTAAAAGAAAGAGTGCTTGTTTTAAAACAAAAAGTAGGCTTTGCTTGAATCGGATAAAAGGCAAAAAAAATTTGATAAATACCGAAAGCTCCCCAGAAAAAACTAATAACTCATATGATACATCTAACTGTAAAAAATTGTTAAAAACGAGTTCTACTCTAAAAAATTCAATAATAACATTTAATAAAAATGTTGAAAATATTAGGAAAGAGACTTTAGACAAAAAGGAAACAGAAAGATCTCCTTTTACTCCTTCTTTTTTAGTTAGTAAAAGTTCTTTAAAAAAAGATGCTAGCACTTCAATGACCCCTCGAAAATGGGACCAATCATTTTCAAAAAATTACCCTCCACCTTTGCCACTGCCGCCTCAGATAAAAAAAAGTGACCATAGTTATTTTGTGATTGAAACTGCAAAAGAGTTTCAACAGAACCTTTCAATATCACCTGGAGCACTTGTTGAAAATAGCTTTTTAGAAGATTCCCTTACAAATGAGACCATCTTTAAATCGTGCAATGAAACAGTTTGTAATCAGAAAATAAGCTCAACTCTGCTTGAAGATTCAAATAATAAACACATTAAGAAGCATGAAAAATCCAATAAAAAAATAATCAAAAAGCATGAAGACTCTAAACAAGAAAACTTCATCAGAAATAATGGAGTGCAAAGTATTTCAAATAAAGAATCAAGTAAGATATATAATAGAGATATAATATAATAACATAATAGAGCATAAAATATAGTTATAGAAGTTATATATATGATAGTTATACAATAGAGCAATTTATTTAGATATTAATAGTGTTAAGAAAATGTTGAGGTCTCACTATAAAAACTGCAATAGTGAACATCCTTTAAAGATAACTCTAAATTTAAATAAATTTAAAGGTTTTTTTTTACTCTATGTATTTATCTTTTATTGTAATTTTAGCTCTAATTTAATCTTTTTTTTTTTAAGTCTAATGTATAGTATGTGACTGGGGTTGAAATTTAACCATAGCCTGGTTTGATAAAAAAATAGTCGCGGATGGGTTTGCGACTGGGCTGTATAGACATAGTTAAGTCCTAAAGTTTTCAATTGAAATTCATGTTATATTTTATATATATATATATATATATATATATATATATATATATATATATATATATATATATATATTTGTATATATATATATATATATATATATATATATATATATATATATATATATATATATATATATATATATATATATATATATATATATATATATATATATATATATGTGTGTGTGTGTGTGTGTGTGTTTATATTTATATATAAACATCGTCATCATCACCACCATCATTTTCATCATTAAGCTTTAACCTTCCCCTTTTATTCTGTTTTTCTAATATAAAGAATATAAACTCCTTTGGCACTACACCACAAATCACTACACCACATAATTACTTAAGTATATAAATATGTAAAGTTATTGTATGTCAGCATCTAATTAAATAACAAACATATATCCATATTATGCATACATAATATGGATATATGTATGCATGAATGTTCCTCTAATCTCCTAGATCCAAGGTATGGAAGCATTTATTACTTCTCATCAGTTTTCAATCATATCTTATTCTACCCCAGATTTTCCACCTTCTTGTGCAGTTTCTATATCCAATTGTAATCATTTTTTAAATCTTTTTTATAATAATATCTCTTAAAAACAATTTTTTTTGTTGTTGTTGCTAGAAGTTAATCTAAAAATGTCCTGTCTGATGCTAAGCTCCAATATTTTCAGTTTATTAAATCTGGTATTTTATCTCAGATTTTATCTGGTATTTTATCTCAGATTTTATCTCAGATTTTATCTCAGTTCTAGAAACTTTTTGGTAAACCTTCAACAGTGTCATTAACTAAAATAAGTTTAACATTCAATCTTCAATTCAAAATTTGCAAAGAGCTTTTCCACTAAATTTTTTATTCCAGTTAAACATAAACTCTGGTTATATATCCAAATCACTCCGGCTTTCAATGATAAAGTCAATTCTTAGTTAAAATTTTCTATGGCTTGTGGTTCAGACAACATTTTATAGTCTTCTGATAATATGAATACGCTAATTTTATATTAGTCGAGTTACGTCATTTTCTAGGCTTTTCTATTTTAAAGTAGTTTCTAGGCTTTTCTATACGCGGTTTTTTTTTTTAATTTTATTTACTAACAATGCGTATTACGGGTTGCTTACTGCTAGTATAAAAGTGTTCTCGGAACTCTTAAAATTTTCTATGGCTTGTGGTTCAGTCAACATTTTATAGTCTTCTGATAATATGAATACGCTAATTTAATATTAGTCGAGTTAAGTCATTTTCTAGGCTTTTCTATTTTAAAGTAGTTTCTAGGCTTTTCTATACGCTGTTTTTTTTTAAAATTTTATTTACTAACAATGTGTATTACGGGTTGCTTACTGCTAGTATAAAAGTGTTCTTTGGAACTCTCTTTGCTTCTTGCTAAACCTTTTAGAAGTGCTGAATAAGTAGTTGCAATATTTAAAACACTCTAACCTCTCTAACTATACTTAACTCTGACCTCTCCAACTATACTTAACTCTGACCTCTCCAACTATACTTAACTCTGACCTTTCCAACTATACTTAAATTTGTCTTCTTTCTATTTTTAGACATTAAAGTTTTAAGGTTATTAAATCATTTCTTATGTTAAATATTTAAGTCATTCTTGAAAGCTAACCCTTTTTTCATTTACAGTTACTTCTGGAGTACCACAAAGTTCTATCCTTAGTTCTGCTTTGTTTCTTATTTACTTTAATGATCTTTCTGACTATCTTACATCTAAATTCATTTTGCTGATGATTCTACTTTATACTACTGCTTGACAAAAAGTCTTCTCTTTTTGCTTAGAACAAGCAGCTGATCTTTAATTTAAACTCTCATCTGCAGCAGCTTGAGACTTGCAGTGGCTTGTGGATTTTAATTCTAACAAACTCAGTTATTTACTAAAAAAAACAATCACAATATTGTTGACATATTTATATTAAAGAATAACAACCTCTTCACACTCAGAAAAAGTCCAAAAAAATATTTTTTTTCTAAAGTTGTAAAAAATCAGAAAAAGTGTTCCATTTTAATATTATGTTCACTTGACAATATAAGACATTGACATAATTGTTGTTTAATTTATAACTATATAATTTTATATAACTTATATACTTATATAGTGTTTATTTTATAAACGCACTTTTGTTTGTAAAACGCAGTTCTCGGAAATAGGATTAGCAGTTAGGTCAGCATTTGGCTGACCTGTCTGCTTCTTACAAAGTGTTTGAGGCCAGTAAAATGATAGAAAAAAACAACAAAGAAACAAGGTCAGCAAATGCTGACTTTATGGTACCATAATGTTTATATATATATATATATATATATATATATATATATATATATATATATATATATATATATATATATATATATATATATATATATATATATATATATATATATATATATATATGAATATATATATATATATATATATATATATATATATATATATATATATATATATATATATATATGTATGTATATATATATATCAGGGCTCAATTTAACGGTCGAACATTGGACATTGTCAGGCTAAAACCTCAGATTATCTGCTCAATTTACAAAGTAATCAGACATTTTGACTGACAGGAATTAAATTTTACAAAATAAAATTTGGACAGGAATGGCTTGCTGACCACGCAATTGATTTTATTTGTTTACAAATTGACCACAACTGTTTAGATGTTTTGATGATTTAAACGTTTCAGAAATGTGCTGAAAAAAGAAATGTTAACCTAAACTTAAACTAGAAAAAAAAAAAAAAAAAAACTAAAAAATAAGCAAAATAATTCCATATAAAAAAAAAAAAAAATTTAGCTTCAAAATAAGACTAAAAAAACACAAAGTAAAAGTTATTTTTGTTACGTTTTTTAATTACATTTGAAAAAAATTACTTTGAAACTGATCTTTTAAAATGTTTAATATAAGTTATGCAAAACGCTTTTACAAATTACTTCAATTGATTGTTTAATAAATGACCAAATATATTTATTATTGAAAAGAAAAAAATTTAATATTTTTAATTTGTATAAACAACTTTTTTTAAAAAAGTTGCAAAAAAAAATTGTTTAAAAAAATAACATTGTTTTTTTAACATCGTAATTTCAAGTTTAAAAAATAAAACTTTTATACAATTCTTTGTAAATAAAGAAACAAAAAAATAAATAAAGCAATTAAATTATGGGAAGATTTAATTAAACTTATTCATCATTTAAAGTTAAACTTAAAAAAATAATCTATTAAAAGTTTTTAGACATGGAAAAATAGTTTCAAACGTTTAAATTTATCATAAAAAATACATACCTAATAAAATATATATATATATATATATATATATATATATATATATATATATATATATATATATATATATATATATATATAACATTTAGTTTACATATAATGCGTTTATTTTTAAACGGTTATTATAATTAGTTTTTGATTTGATTTTATTTGAAGCCTTTGCGTATAATAAAAACTTTAACAAAGATCAATGATTAAAAGTTATTCATAAGGGAACAATTTTTTTAATTGCATATAAATTGATAAAACGTAAAAGCAGCCGTTATCAAATTGTAAACAATGGCGTAGTTACCTAGGGGCTATGCAGGGCCCTCAAGCTTAGGGGGCTTTTGAATCCTTACCAGAAATCTGTGTAAGAAAATTGTGTCAATCGCTTTAAAATGGCGTTTTTAATATATTCATTATATAAATGTTTATATGTTTAATATATTCATTATATAAAAGAGAAAAAGCTAGGAAAAAATTGTAAATATAATTGTTATTTAGTCAGTTGGGAGGCCGAACCTTTATATAATAAACCCTTGAATCTTTTCTATTTTGTTTTATTAACCAAACATACACCAAGTATTAATTGTAATTTATTTTGTTACTGTTTAATATTTTTATTACCTGCCCTGCAGTGTACAAAAAAGAGCTAAAGTAGCTTAGCATTTTTAAAGTATTTGTATATTTCATATTTTTATTTGATTAAATCTAATTAGTTTACATAGCAGTGGGGCCCCATTTTTTAATTTGCTTTAGGGCCCTTGGTTACCTAGCTATGCCACTGATTGTAAAGAAAAAAATATTTAGCGTTGTCAGTTACAGTGTGAAATTTTAAATCTGTCTATAAAAATGTACAATTTTAAATTGAAACTATTTTATTAAAAAACAAAAATCTACGATGAATTATTGTAAATAGTAAGGAAAGAAAATACAACTTCACTAGACTAACGTTAAATAAACTGAATAACATGACACAGATTTTGATTGCATAACTCGATTCCATAAAATCGTTTAAATTATGGTTTAAAAATTTGATCGGACACTGTCCGACCAAAACAAGTTTTGATTAGACATTTTGTCTGGGACTTTATAAAAAATTAAATTGAGCCCTGATATATATATATATATATATATATATATATATATATATATATATATATATATATATATATATATATATATATATATATATATATATATATATATATATATATATATATATATATATATGAGTGGGTCAGAAGCCAAGGAGTACAAGTGACAATTTTACCAAAATTAAGTTAGGTATAGAATTTGATAGAATAAGCAAACAAAATTGTTGGTGGCCAAGGGATACAAGTGAATCTCTGGCCTGTGCTGCTTTCTACTGGAAAAACATAACAACAGCTGAGTATATTTAACAAAAATACTTTAACTTTAAACAGCTGTATCTCAAAACTATGAAAATGTCACTTGTACCCCTTGGCTTCTGACCCACTCATATATAAATATATATATATATATATATATATATATATATATATATATATATATATATATATATATATATATATATATATATATATATATATATATATATATATGTATATATATATATATATAGCACAAATAGATAAAAAATAGCTATATAAACACTAGAAATCACAACAGTTTTTTACTTCTGCAATTACAATTTGTTAGATTTCTTACTATTATTTTATTCAGTAATATATGGCTTTTCTTGTGATGCAGACTATGGTACAATATCTTGAAGTGAAGCAGTCTCATCCATCCAAATATTAACAAATATTAGCATATGTTAAGTTTATTCTTTTCAAAACTGAATAATCTCTCATGGAGTTTAGAATTATTTGCAGTTGATAGTAACAAACAGAGTGAGTGAAGGGCATAGGATAGAACAATTTTCCAATTTCTAACATACAGGTTGTAGATTTCTAACATATAGGTTTTAGATTTCTAACATATAGGTTGTAGATTTTTAGTGCCAAACAAACAATTATACAGATCAAACCATTAAATCTCTTAACTTGTCTATTACTGATAGAATGATATCGAATTACTTTTTGCATTCTTTTTCTGATTAAGGTAAGATTTTAATTCATTAAATAATAATGAGGAGCCTCTGTCAGAATGAATGTAAGTTGGAAATCACAAAAAAAAAAGAATTAATTTAAACATTTTGCAACTTTATTGTTGTGCTAATATTTGGACACGGGATAGTAAATTTATACCCAGAATATTCATCAAAAACTGTAGATAAACATTCATTTCTAAAATTAGATGACAATGGTTAATGAAATGAACTTAATGAAAACAAGGTTGTGATAACATCAGTCCCTTTGTGCTAAAGCATTGTGCAGAAGGATTATCCAAACCTTTGTCTTTAATATTTAAGAAATCGATACATTCAGGAGAGCTGCCAGAATTATGGAAATCTGCAAACATTACACCACTTTTAAAAAAAGGAGACAAGAAAGGTCCACTCAACTACAGACCTATCTCCTTAACATCGATACCAAGTAAGATAATACAAATATGGCAGTAAGAACAAACTTATCTGACCTCCTCCATAGATAAAGGCAAGTTTTTAAATTTAACAAAGTGAAGCATACATGTGATCCTGGATGCCATTGACAATAAAGTATATCACTAGGTTTGTTTGAGGTAGATTTATAGCACAAAAAGCACATGTTATTGCATCAGGAACTAACTAAATTTATTATTGCTTTCAGGACAATATAATATAGTATAGCTAAACTCTGCTTACTCCATTCATTCATCCACTGAACCTTAGTGTTTTTAATCTTTGTTTATTTTTGGTTATCAAACATATAAGCTCCACAACACATAAGCTATTAACAGTTATAAACTGGAATTGATTTTGTAACAAAAAATGTTGTCATTTTTGAACAGCTTCAATAATAGCTTCAGCTTGGGTAATTAATTTCACTTTTGTTAGCTAAAATGGCTACCTCTGATGTATCACAATCAACAACAAAAGGTATGCTCTTATTGGTAGAACTTACTATAAAAGTTCTGGCCTGAAATTTCTGTTTAAATAATTGAAATACTTTAAATGCTTCACTATTGATTGGAAACAAATCATTAATTAAATGTCAAACTTTATTAGCAAAAGAAGGAATCTGTTTTTAGTAAAACATTAGAAAGAGGTAGTAAATCTAAAGGACATCATCATTTAGGACCTAGTTTTATATTGTTATGACCAACACAATAACCAAGAATAATTGTTTAAGAAACTGAAATAACAGATTTTGATTTATTTAATGTTTGGCCACAATGTTGCGAAGCATCTTGAAACCATTGGCAATTTTCATTGTGATGTACCAATCATAGCCACTAATCATTATATTGCCAAGGTGTAGGAAAAATGTCACAACTTTTCATTCTCAACATTTGTCTATAGATCTTTGGAAGATCACACTATTTGTTACTCCAAATGGAATCCTGTAAAATTAATTAGATCTTTGAAAGACACACTATTTGTTACTCCAAATGGAATCCTGCAAAATTGGAACAATTTGCCATTAACCTCAAATGCTGTATACTATTTTTCTAAATCTTTTATAGGAATCTGTTGGTAAGCGCTAAGTCAAAGATAATGAATACTTTGTATTTTGCATGTTCATTTATCATATTAAATATTATTATTATTATTATGGGAAGAGGATATACATCTAATTCAGTGTAAAAGTTAACTGCTTGAGAGTAATCAATGCAGAGTCTATTTTTTTAAATTTAGTCAAATCCTTTACAACCAATACTTGGTCTCTCCATAGTAAGAAGCTTGGCTCAGTTATACTATTAGATACTGTGATATTTTTCAATAAAGTTTTGATCATCTTTATTCTTCTTGATTTGTTATTGGCTGAAATACTTTTAAACAATGAAGGTATTTTTATTTTGTCCATTAGCAGTGCACATAGGTTATTTTACTTTGTGACTATTAAGTCTTTTTTTTCTCCACCAAATAGAAAAAAATCAGATATTTGTGTTGCTTTTGGTCATAGCCAAGTATGATATCACTGTAAAGGTTTTCCAAGTTACCAAATTAAACATTCTCATACTTTAAACCAGAACAGCAACTCACTAATCCAGGCTCTATTGTTGTTAGGGGCATAGAAATTATTTTTTACTGGGTAATGTTTTTATTTTCAAAGTATCAATAGGTTTTTGCTTATAAAATTATCTAAACTACAAGAATCAATGTGTCATTAATTCTAGCAACAACAGTTGCATGAAAGAGAATCAATGGACAGCCACTTAAAACAGTACACAAACTTGATATATGCATTGCAGCTGAATGCTGTAGGTTATATTTATTGGCTTACCAACACACCCTTGAAAAATTGTCAATTTTTTCCATATTTAAAACATGTAAGCCAGGCAAATTTTCAAAGCATTCATAGCTTTCTTTTGAAAATGTCTAAAGTTAAGAGAATGTTTTTATAATAATTATAAATTATTTAAGTATGTTTAAAAAAATTGACCTAAAGAATTGAAAATTGAATGTTTAGTTGATATCTTTACTCTGTAATGTAGTGCTCAAAAAATATCAAGTAAAAAATGTAGAGTAAATAAACTGAGTTTAAAACCTCTTTAATATTTCTAGGTTTTCAGTTTTATTGCTTCTGAAATTTTTTCCTATTGAACTTTAAATATTTGTGAAATTATTACCATCAAATAATATTATTTATGATTAAAAAAAAATTAAAATGACAAAAATATCAGAATAATTATTTACTTTGCTCATTTCATCAGAGATGATGAAATGAGCAAAGTAAATAATCTGATTGATACAAAAAAACTTGATAAGTCAATCTTAAGATTTATTTATGTTTTCAAATATACTTTCATAGGAGTTAATTACAGTTAAAGAGAGTTTTAAATATACTTTTCAAATATACTTTTACAGTTGAAGAGAGTTTTAAAAAAATGTGGTAAAAACCTGTTTTTATATTTATATTACTTTTTGTGTTTTTGAATTACATTTTTGGTTTTAGGCAATGAACGAGATTCTAGTGGTTATGTTGGTGATGTCGAACATCTATCAGAAAATCTATCAGAAAGTTCAACAGATGAAACTTTTTGGAGTTTAAGAAGTTCTCCTATGTCTCCACTTCCTAACTGTACTTCTATTACTTTTCGAAAGAAAAAGGTTTGTTTTTGTTACTTCCTAACTGTACTTCTATTACTTTTCGAAAGAAAAAGGTTTGTTTTTGTTACTTCCTAACTGTACTTCTATTACTTTTCGAAAGAAAAAGTTTTGTTTTTGTTACTTCCTAACTGTACTTCTATTACTTTTCGAAAGAAAAAGGTTTGTTTTTGTTACTTCCTAACTGTACTTCTATTACTTTTCGAAAGAAAAAGGTTTTTGTTTGTTACTTGATTTTTACATTGTTTTTATGAATTACTATAAAATTGATGTCACTCTTTTTAATATGATATGAGCTAAAGATATTGTTCTTAATTATTATTATTTTTTTTTGTAGAGTGTTTTATTTTGTGTTTTGTGCAGTTAGTATTTATCTAAATATGAAACATTTTTTTCTACTTGTTTTAACTGAAAACTTCATAGTTTACAAAAAGTGTAAAGGTCAATATTTTGCTTTGAGTTTTAGCAACAAAATTATTTTAAGTATATGAAATTAATACAATTACAAGCCAAAGACAACATTTAACGTCTTGTTGCTCACTCGTCTGTTTTCTAGTTTTAGATTCGCAACATATTTAATTATTTTTACCAATATTATTTAAATTATAAATTGTCATTAGTTTATGTTATAAATTAAAATTTAAAAACTGAAATTGTTTTTTAAAATTTTGATATGATATTGTTAAAATCCTTTTTACATTTTTTTTTTTTTTAAATGATCAGAAAGAGTTAATAAAATGTTTATAAATATGTTTTTAAATTCATAAAATGTTTACAAATTTTGTTTTTTGATCATAAGCATATTAAAATGTTTAAGTTTATACTTTTAATAGGTTAAATTTATCTTAAAAAATTTTTTTGATATATTGTCCTGCATGATTTAAACAATATGTTTGATATAAGTCTTTTTGGGTAAAAATAGCAATTAGGCTGGCAAACTCATTTTTCGACTAAACTACCATTTCGGTTATTCAAGTTATATGCAGGGATATTTAAGTTGTACTTTTTTAAAAGATATAGTGTTTCAGTTTGATAGAGTTTAACATGCTAGCCTCCTCCATAAACTCTCTTCTTACGGTAATATCAGGTAATATATTTAGGACTATTGAATTTTGCCTTCGGAGTATAAAAGTTGTCTGGATGTATAGCACTCTTCTTTATTTCCTGTAACTTCAGGGGTTCCTCAAGGTTTTATTCTTGGCTCCATACTTTATTTTAATTAACATTAACTTTCTCCCAAAAATTCTCACATCTAAGGTGGTATTGTTTGCTAGCTAGCATCTCTTGTGCCATCTACTAAAATTCATTATCGTGTTACTTGTCATTTAATTAAGTGTCATCCTTTTACTGTGGCTGTTCCTAAGTGCTTCAAAGATTATTATTTATCTAGTTTTTTTCTTAAAACATTAGTTCTTTGAAATTTACTCCCTTCAACTTGTTTTCCTGATTCATACAATTTGTAATTTTTCAAGTCATCTGTTAATTATTATCTATAAATTTCATCTTTTCTCTTTCCGTAACTTCTAACTAAAAGTGGTTGTTTCCCATAGCTTCTAACTCCAATAGTGGTTGCTTGCAGCCTTGTTGTAAGTGAAGATGTTACAAAAAAAAATTTATTGTTTAGCAAAATAGTTTAATTTTTAAAAAATTTTGCTGAAGCTAATTTTTTTATCTGTTTGACATTAGGAGTTCATCAAATATTTTACAACTTAACTTTTTTAATGTGTTCCAAGCCAGAGTAAAAACTTAACGCTCTATGATTTAAAACTTAAAACATACATATAAACATATAACGCTCTATGATTTAAAACTTAAAACATACATATAAAACTTAAAACATACATATAAAACTTAAAACATACATATAAAACTTAAAACATACCTATTAAACTTAAAACATACATATAAAACTTAAAACATACATATAAAACTTAAAACATACATATAAAACTTAAAACATACATATAAAACTTGAAACATACATATAAAACTTAAAACATACATATAAAACTTAAAACATACATATAAAACTTAAAACATACATATAAAACTTAACACATACATATAAAACTTAAAACATACATATAAAACTTAAAACATACATATAAACTTAAAACATACATATAAAACTTAAAACATACATATAAAACTTAACACATACATATAAAACTTAAAACATACATATAAAACTTAAAACATACATATAAACTTAAAACATACATATAAAACTTAAAACATACATATAAAACTTAAAACATACATATAAAACTTAAAACATGCATATAAAACTTAAAACATACATATAAAACTTAAAACATACATATAAAACTTAAAACATACATATAAAACTTAAAACATACATATAAAACTTAAAACATACATATAAAACTTAACACATACATATAAAACTTAAAACATACATATAAAACTTAAAACATACATATAAACTTAAAACATACATATAAAACTTAAAACATACATATAAAACTTAAAACATACATATAAACATATAGAATATTTTTAAGTATAAAAATAAGTATCTAAAAACCAAAATTTAAAAAAAAACCCAAAAATTTAAATATATTATATATAATTTTTCTTTATAATTTTTAAATTTTAATATTATAATAATGTGCTAAAAAAGTGTTTTTGCATTACTCTTGAACCGGTATCATAAGTTTCATCTGCATTAATTTTTTTCTCTAATTGGTTAACATCTACTTGATAAGTATAACTTTTTTTTAATGATTCTTGACGTTAAAACTGTTTTGTTTATTTGCCAAATCTTTTAGGGTTGGCATTAAAAAACCTGCCCAATAAAACCCAGGCAATATGGGTTTTTTTGAAATATATCTAAAAACTTATGAACTATTATATTATTAATATATACTATTATTAACCAACATTTCTGAAAACATAAACATATTATAGGGCTAGCTATAAAGGGAAATTTTCAATTTAAACACAGCATTTTTATTTAACACAATTTTATTTTGGAAACCAAACAAATTAGATTCATTCAATAAGGTTTTTTAGAATAGGTACACATTGACAAGACTAATTACATTTTTGGTATACTTCTTGCAAATACAACTTTACTTTAATGTAATATTCACTTTATATTGTAAAAACATAAACTCTAATGTAAAAACATAAACTCTAAACTATTTTTGATACTGTATATATATATTTGCACAAGCTTTTTAGCCTTTTCACATCCTAATTTATTTTTAACTTTTGGCCAAATAAAACCAAACGAAGAAAATATTCTTTCTATTGATCCTGAGCTAGCAGGGCACATTTGAAGTTTTGAAATAAATTTGCCAAATCCTTCAGGCAATTTTTTCTGAATTGATTTTTGATTTCTCTGTTTAATGATAGACCACCAATCACTGCACAATATTGTTGATCTGGGTGTGTTACTTTTTTTTCTAAAAGGTTTAAATAATGTGCAGAACACCCATATGTTAAAAGATTTGGATACGTTACTTTGATTGAATCCCTCATTTTTTTAATCTTATTTTCATTATCTGTTACCACAGCAAATACTTCTTTATTTTATGTTTCTTTAAGATCTTTAATGACATTACGAAGAAGTTCAATACTTGGCTGTTTTTTTATTTGATGCACAATCAGTAATGCATAAAATTTTAGAATTAAGTCCGTCATATGCTCTGTGAGCAATAATAGGATCATTAGTTACACTACTCCATCCGTCTTGCATAATTGTTATTGTTTTCTCTTCTTGGGTAAGTTGATCCATTATTTTTTTGTTTACTTCCTCATAAACTTTTTCTAAGAGCTCTCCTCCAAGCATTTTACAGTTAGGTGGTTTATATCCTGGTCTCAATGAATTGATCATGTCTATAAATTCTTGATTTTCAGAAGTTTTAAATGATACATTTGCACTGAAGAAAAATTTTGCTATATTTATATCAATATTTTCTTTCTGTTCCATATTAGTTGATATTGTGTACGATGACATCAATCGCTGCTTCTTACAAGGCGTTAACGAACTTATAGAACTTACAGATGCCAAAGAACTTTTTCCAACTTGAGATGATGGTCCAGCTATTAGAGCAGATGCAGTAATATTTAAATCATTATTTGGTACATCATCACAATTTTTATTTAAATATTTTGACAAATTGACATTTTCCCCTTCTGTATGCTTGTGTAAAAACTTAAACTTTTTTTGGCAATTTTTTAAATGGGGTTTTACTCGTTCTATCTTGTTGCTAATCAAAGCATGATAATAGTCACAAGAAACCTTTGTACTGTTTTCAACTTCAGTCACTTCATCCCATTCTCCAGCTTTCTTTCTCCCACTTCCCATCGACATTTTTAATTATAAAAAATATTATTATTTAATCTAAAATAAATCAATACATCATGATTTTTTTTTATTTTATTTTATCATGATTTTTTTTTATTTTGTTACATTTTTAGATTTTTTTTAAACTGTAATTAAAAAAAACTTATTGAAAATAATTTGAGGTGTATAAATTTTAAAAACTTATAAAATATATTCTAAATAAACTTAAAGTTAAAAATGATATTAGTTTTCAATATTATTAAACAAACAAACAAAAAATTTAAAAAAAAAAAAAAAAAAAAAAAAAAAACAACCAAAAAATACCCATAAAAACCCAAAAAAACCCACTGGGCTGGTTTTTAAAAAAAAAAAACGGGTTTTTGCCAACCCTGAAATCTTTATATTAAATTTAAGTGTTACTTATTGTTTGGTGTTTGCTATTTAAATAAAGAAAAACAAATTTTTAACTGTATTGAATTACTGTAATGTACTAGAATCAAAATAAATATTTTCAGGCTTGCTTACATGTGATTTAAGTTTTCACCTTATTAAAGGTTTTAAAACAAATTAAAAGTTGTGTTTTTTTGTGCTTTTTTTTTTGATATTTTACAATAATAACTTTTTAAAATAAAATAATTTTTAACAATTTTAAACTGCTTCATTGAGTGTTTTTGCTACGCAAAACTTTTTTCCACACAAATAGATTTGTGTGGAAAAAATGTTAAATGTATCCAGTCTCTAACAAGTAAAATATATTCACTTCTCAGGAACAAAGTTATTCAATAAACAAACAACATTTCAAAAAGTAATAATTTAATTGGATTGAATAATTTTTTTTTTGTTCAATTATATTTTTAACTATTAGTTACATCTACACAAAAAACATAAAAACCTGAAATTACTGAAAGTTTCAGGCATGATAACTGTCATTTTAAATTCACAATTTCATGAATGAATTGTTTACAAAACTGAAATGTTTACAAAACTGACAATCTGTCAACTGTGATATTTATAATAAGTAACTTACTATACTTAACTTTCTTCTTCATGTTAAATTTTGTATATATATGTAGATATCTTTTTAGGTATTAAACACTCCCTCTGACATTTTGCAAAAGAAAGCAAAAGAATATTCTGAAAAAATGTTTGAAGAAAAAGAACAACAAACCACTGTTTTCACAGATACAAAATATGTTGGCACTAACTCTGCTAGTTTTCGAGATGCTGCAAGTCAAGCTGAGCTTTCAGACATTTATAATGAAGTTATCAAAATAAGAAGAGAGTCCTATGTAAGGTTTCTTGATGAAAAACCTCCAATAGACAACATAGCTGAGAAAAATATTGTGGAGCCATGTGATAAACATTGTACAGCCGCAAACTCGCTTGAAAGGCATGATAAAAGTTGTGCAGGTGTACACTCACCTAATTTTTTTACAAATAATCTTCATCTTCAGAATATGGATCTTCAATTTCAGAATATACATTTGGATCAATGCGATGTTGATTGTTCTGAAAAAGACAATGAAAAAAATAAATTATCATCTAATAGTGAGGATGACCTCATAGATGAGGAAAATTCTTCATCATCTGAAAATCTATCTGAATCATCTTTGGGTTCAAATTTTGATGAAGACCTTCTTAAAAATGTAACGGTTGACTATAGTAATGATAGCTTGAATCAGTTTCCAAATGTTTCGCAGCTTATACACTTTTACGAATTAAAAACAGATGATGAAGTACTTTCTGCTCGTGGAACTCCAACAGTAGATCTTAGCATGGTAAGTAAAGTTTATAATGAGATCACAATTGACTATGATTGGAAAGATGTTAGTCTTTTAAGTGCAACCGAAGAAGAACATCCAATTACAGTTCCAGCAAGTATTCTTATGCTTAGCTGCAATGAGCTTAGACAAAGACTTATAAAACTTGGAGAAAATCCTGGTCCAATATCACCTAGCACTCAAAAGGTGTATCAAAGGTATTTAGCAAAATTAGAGAAGCAACCAGATGCTCAATTTACTAAAGTAAGTGTTATTTATAAAAAATTATATATTACATTTATTCTTAAAGTTCTAAAGGGATATCCATGTGCTGAGAGAAGTTGTCTTTATTTAATAAATGAAAATTAAAAAATAAGTTTTAAATTATTTAAACTGTTCATAACAAATAGTATATTTAGATATTAACAAAAAACATTTAATGTTTATTTTTTTGCCATAATATTTTCTATAATATTCATAGTGTACACTATGTTATGCCTGTTGTTAATATTCATTGTGTACACTATATATATTCATTGTATAGCCTGTTGTTAATATTCATTGTGTACACTATATATATTCATTGTATAGCCTGTTGTTAATATTCATTGTGTACACTATATATATTCATTGTATAGCCTGTTGTTAATATTCATTGTGTACACTATATATATTCATTGTATAGCCTGTTGTTAAGCTCATAAGTTAAATTCTTATGATTCAACTGTTGTTGTTGTTGTGAAAATGTCTGTGTAAGATTTTAAAATGATTTAGTTTACACAATTAGCTTGGTTTTTTCGTCTTTTTTTAATAAATTTTTCCTGTTTTACAATACATCATTTGAATAGTTAACTTCTTTTAATGTTATTTTTGTTGCTTTTATTTTATTTTCATAATGGCTTTCGAATTAAAGAAAAAAGTTAATATAAAAAAAAAAAAAAGATGGAAGTTTGCTTTGCAATAAACAAAATTGCATTAAAGTGGTGTTGTTTTTTGTTATCTTTTTTTTTTTTTTTTGTTTTTTTTTTTTTTTGTTATTTTGATAAATAGTTTTGGTAAGTTTCACCTATTTAAGTAAGAATATCTCACAAACTATTTTAGTAAGAATATCTCACAAACTATTTTAACTGTCAATCAAATGTTTGATTTTAGTAAGAATTACTCACAAACTATTTTAGTAAGAATATCTCACAAACTATTTTAATAAGAATATCTCACAAATTATTTTAGTAAGAATATTTTTTTTTTTTTTTTTTTTAACATCTTCACTTCCAACAAGGCTGCAAGCAACCACTAATTAGTGTTGGAAGTTACTGGAAGAGAAAAGATAAAGATTGTAGAGCAAGATAACGATTGACAGACGACTTAAAAGATTGCAAATTATATGAATCAGGAAAGCAAGATGAAGGAAGCGAATTCCAACGAACTGATGTTCGAGGAAAAAAACTAGACAAATAAGAGTTTTTGGAGCACTTAGGAACAGTAACAGAAAAAGGATGAGACTTAATTGAATGACGAGTAACACGAGAATGAATTTTAGTAGATGGCACAAGAGACGCTAGCTCTTTAGAGCAGTGCCCATTATAGTATTTGTAGAAAAGAGAAAGAGATGTGACAGAGATTGACGGTTAGCTGCAAGAGCAGGTCCAACTATATTTACAATGCGTTTTTGCACCTTGTCTAAAAGAGAAAGGGCATCATTAGAAGATCCACCCCAGATATGGCAACAGTATTCCATACAAGGTCGGATTTGAGATTTATAGAGATAGAGAATAGAATCCTGAGTAAGAAAGTGACAAGCTCGATAAAGTGAAGCGACTTTAGCAGATGCTAATTTTGATATAAGGTTTCCAAGAAAGATCAGAAGTAAGAGTTAATCTTAGAAGATGAAGGGTAGGAGACTCATCAAGTACATTACCATTCATAAATATAGGAAGGTCTAAACTATTGCGATAATCATTGGCTGAAAAAAATTGAGTTTTATCTGAATTAAAGTTCACCAGCCACTGTGAGCCCCATGCTGTAGCAGAAGTGAGATCCTTTTCAACCTCAGATGCCCCCTGCAAGCAATCAGAGGGAGTTGGCTTCTTATCGTGACAAGAATAAATGGTAGTATCATCAGCGAACAATGCCACCTTAGATGTGAGAATATCTGGAAGATTGTTAATGTAAATTAAAAAGAGTATAGGGCCAAGGATTGAACCTTTAGGAACCCCTGAGGTTACAGAATAAGAAGAAGAGTGCTGTCCATCAAGGACAACTTTTATACTACGATTGGAAAGGAAGGGTTTAATAATCTTAAAGATGTTTCCAGATACACCGTAAGAAGAAAGCTTATGGAGAAGACCAGCATGCCAAACTTTATCAAACGCCTTAGAAATGTCAAGAGCGATGGCCTTAACCTCTCTACCTTTATCTAATGCGCGATAAAACCTATTGGTTATTACTGTTAGCAAATCAGCCATAGAACGAGAGGATCAAAATCCATATTGATGATCAGAAAGTAGATTATGAGATTCGAGATAAGAGATTAAGTGTTTGTTAATTAAAGATTCAAAAACCTTGCTTATGATAGGAAGAAGACTAATGGGATGGTAATTAGATGAATCGGATCGCTCTCCAGAATTTTTAAAAATAGGGATAACAGATGCTGCTTTCCAGCAGGCTGGAAAACAAGACTCTGATAAGCACTTGTTAAATAGTTTTGAAAGGATAGACGACAGCTCCGGAGAACACTTCTGCAAGACTATAACAGGTATGTTGTCCGGGCCGCAAGCTGTAGAAGAGTCTAAGCAGGAAATCATGTCGAGCAGTGGATCAACCTGTTTGACGGCTATATCAGGTAGAACGCAACTAGTGGAATCAAGAGATGATATTGATGAAAAATTTTTGGCAAACAATTTAGCTTTGTCTTTAGGTGAGGTGACAAAGTCTGAACCGTACAAAAGAGGTGAAATTACAGACTCCAGAAGTCATTCTCCAAAGACATTCTCCAGAAGTCATGAGAGCCTAATTTTTGTGATGAAATACAAGATTTCATGATCTGAGAATAGCGGGATTTGGCGTTAGACAAAACCTTTTTACAATAGTTCCTAGCAGTAATAAACAGACATCTGTTTTCTGGAGAATTGTTTTGCTGATAGATATGGAAGTAATGGTTTCGATTGGCAATTGCAGCTGCACAATGTGAGGAAAACCATGGAGAAGAGTTAGGTTGGACCTGGAATCTTCGAGAGGGAATAAAGGATTCCATGCCAGCCTGAATCCACAAAGTTATGTAAGAAGCGCATTTGTTAACAGGAAGATTTCTACCCAAGGGCCATCATGAAGAAAATCACGGAAAGAGTCTCAGTCAGCTTTAAAGTAGTTGTAAGATTTACAATGATAGGGGGATTCTGATGGTAAAGAAGAATGAGATAATAGTTTTAGAAAGACCAAACCATGATTGGAGGCACCTAAGAGTGAGTGTGGAGAAACTGAGCACTGACTAGGACTAGAAACAAGACATAAGTCGAGTAGAGAAGGTAAATGATTCGGGTTGTCTGGAAAGCGAGTTGGAAAGTTGACTATTTGAGTTAGAGATTGAGAAAGGCAAAAGTTGTGGGCCTTAATGCCTGCGGAGTCACTGACACTAGAGCCAAGCCATTCAGTTTGATTAACATTAAAGTCACCGACAACAACAATATTGGCTGATGGATAAAGGATGAGGGCTTGGTCAATATAATCAGAAATAACATCAAGAAAAGTGCAGTCTTGAGATGAAGGAGAGCGATATAGAACAAAGAGAAAGGTAATAGATTGAAGTGGTGCTAAACGAAAGCACCTAAAAGAGTAGTCTGTGGATTCAAACCTAGTTTCCCGACAAATGGGTGAATTCTTACGAATGTAAATGCCTAGGCCAAGCATGTGGCTATTGGAGTATTTACGAATTAAATGAAGATAACCATCAACATTAAGATCACAAGATGAGACAGCTGAACTCAAATTAGTCTCACAAAGAGCAAGTAGGTCTGGTGAACTTTGCAAGAGATAAGACTCAACAGAAGAAACGTTACTTCGAAGACCACGAATATTGGGGAATGATAGGTTTAGCGAACTTGGTGATGACTGTTGTCATCACCAAGTTCGCTAAACTTGTTTTTTTTTTTTTTTTTTATATATCTCACAAACTATTTTAACTGTCAATCAAATGTTTGATTTTAGTAAGAATATCCACAAACTATTTTAGTAAGAATATCTCACAAACTATTTCAGTAAGAATATCTCACAAACTATTTTAGTAAGAATATCTCACAAACTTTTTTAGTAAGAATATCTCACAAACTATTTTAACTGTCAATCAAATGTTTGATTTTAGTAAGAATATCTCACAAACTATTTTAGTAAGAATATCTCACAAACTATTTTAACCGTCAATCAAATGTTTGATTTTAGTAAGAATATCTCACAAACTATTTTAACTGTTAATCAAATGTTTGATTTTAGTAAGAATATCTCACAAACTATTTTAGTAAGAATATCTCACAAACTATTTTAACTGTCAATCAAATGTTTGATTGACAGTTGTCAATCAAATGTTTGATTAAATTATTAAAAGACTAGGAAGAATTAAAAATTAATTTTTACCAAACGCTTAATGACTTGTTTTCATATTTTTATAGAATAATTTATCGAATATATCAATAAAAAGTTGAAATTTTTTAAGAAATATTTGAAACAGTCTGAATTTTTTTCAAACTAAAAGGTTAAAGAGACAAGGTTTGCAGATTATACTTCTGAACTTCGACAGATATTAACAGGTGTTAGCTTGTACTCTGAAAAAGACAGTAATGATCTTGAAGTAGAAATGGCGTATATATTTTCCAATCCTGAAAAACATACCTGGAGAGAAGGGTGAGTTCTTAAACATTTATCCAAAAGTTTTTGTTTTTTAAATAGTTGATTTGAAAAATTATATTTTTAGCACTCAAAAAGCATCATTTAATTATTTATTACTTGATCCAAGAGTAACAAAAAATTTACCAGATCGTTCAATGAATATGACTTTTGTGGAGCAACTTCGTGCCTTCACTGCATCTATTTTTTATATAGGCAAAGCAAAGAAGTCAAGACCATATGAACACTTATATGATGCTTCTAAACATTTTAAAACTGACAAAAATAAGGTCTTTATTATAGTAGTTTGTTAAAATTTGTTTTGTTATTTGTCGTATTTTTTAAGCAATTTATTGTTAATATTTTGTCATATATCTTATTTAGTATTAATATAATTATGATTTATCATAGCTTCTACAGCCCTCGGAATTATGGTCGGCATTTGGCGATGCCAACCTAACTGCCGACCTTAAAATGTTTGAGGTTGGTAAAAAATCGCCGACCTCGTTTCAGTGTTTTATGGCCTGTTTAATAACCCCTTTGTGTCATTTTTTCGCCAACTTGATGCTAATTCCTAACAGCTAAGGTCGGTAATTTATTGCCGACCTCGTTTCTTTTAATTCCGAGGGTTGCATCTAGTAATTTCTATTTTCTTACCAACCATGTCGCTATTGTAGCACAATTTTATTTTGTAGTGTGGAAGTAGTAAGCTTAATATGATCTGTGATATATGGAATTCTGGAATGGGAGTTGTTTCGGTCCATGTTTTTCATAGTATTATTCCTGTAGAGGCTTATACAAGAGAAGGCTGCATGGTGGATGCTATGGGTAATTTATTTAACATAACAATTAAAAAAAACAACTTGAAACCCAATCTCTTATAGACGAGATCATTATATATAAGTGCTTTTATTTTATTATCTTTAATAATTTAGCATAAAAGCTTTATTTTTTGCTTTATTTTTGGTGCTTTTTCTCTAAACGTAATGTTATTTTGTATCATGTAATTGTAATTATTAGTTTTAATTAACTGGTTTTATTTTTTTATTTTTACTAAGGTTTATCACGATTAACAAATGCAAAACGTGGAGAGTTTTATGGACCTGCTAGTTCATGGAATGCTAAAAAAAGACGTTTGCTTGGAATACATCTCCTTGTAAAAGCAATGAAAATTTATTTTATTGAAGGTGAAAAACAAATTCGAGAATGCGATTTGACTGGATGATTGTAATGTCTGGTGATTTATGTGATAACTCTTGTTTAAATTGAAAGTGATAATTATTTTTTAAATTTAATATTATACTATATTTATATAATCCTATATTTATCTTATTTTGTCTCACTTATTTTGAGCCTTAGTTTAACACACTAGAAAACTTTTTTTAAAATTATATATTAGACAAAATAAATTATTTTTTTTGTCTTTATTTTTTTTTTTTAATAAATGAGCAATCATTTTCAAATCACGGTTTAATGAATCAACCATTATAGAGATGTTTATATATATGTGTGTCTAAAAATTTGTAGAGAAGTTGCTTACAGTTTTTATTTTATAGCTTTTCTATCAAGAGTCACTTTACAAGGATCACAATCAAAGATTATTAAAATATTTTATGATTATAACCCTCTTCCCCATGTTATCTAATTGTCACTCTATGTGAAAGGTAGTTAACATTAATTAACATTTAAAAAGCATTTTTTTTTTTCTGAATGGCGATATAAATGTTTAAATTAGAATATAATTAATAAAATTAAATGCAGCATTAACAATGGTTGTTATCAGAAAATATAGTTTTAAAATTTTTTTAAATTATATTTTAATATGTCAAATATTTACTTTGTTTAAAATTGTCACTTGTACGCATGCTCGAGTAATATAAAAAAGGTTTATTTGTTAAAACGAAAAATGAAGAAAATAAGAAATTTTATGTATTATTTAGATGTATATAGTTTACAAAAGTTATTAATATAAAAGGTTGGCCTAAAAATGAAAATGTGTACATGTTTTATTTATTTGTAATTTTTTAATGTTTATATTGTGTTACGGTATTTAAAAAAATTGTTCCATATTTCAAAAAAGATTGTTTGTATTTCATTTGAGTTTTTTTCTGTTTTTAGTACTCTCCTAGCATTTATTCATTATATTTCATGCGGTCAGTAGTTTTCAAGATATTTAATTGCCCAACTTGTCTCCATGCTCAACACCGCTCTACATTACGACAAATGGCTTAAACTAACTTTTAAATATATGTAAACAAAGACGCGAGCATACTTTAAAGCTGGTGAAGAAACAATTTTAAATCATATCATTTCATATATTTCACATTGATTTAAAGTAAAGGTAACCGCACCTTTTACATTATCGTTTAAAATAATATGAAGCAAGATGAACTTTTAGATAAAAACTTAAAAGCACATCTATTCAAATGAAAAAAATAATAAATAAACAGGATTTATACAAAGGTTTTTTTAAGGAAAAAAACCCAGCTTTTTTAGTTAGAAATATCTAATTATTAGGTAAAGCCTCTTTAATAAATTTTTATAAAAAAATGACACAAATTCTTGACCTTTTCATGTTTTTTAAGTTTCAGTTGTTTCATACTTTGGAGTAATTATACTGGATAAACAACATAATTCTAATGTCCTGAAGCAAAAAAATTAACCATCATTGCTTCAATTGTTTACAGTTGGGTCATTCCGAGCCAAGTGGAGTAGATTTTCATGAGGTTCTTATGGATCATCTCAGATTTTGCTGAGATCTTTTGATTTTGCGCATATATTTATAAGGAAAGCGTGTTTTGAAAGTTTTAGATGAAAATGTAATAAGATTCTTGAGAAAACACTGTTTAAGTTGTGATCTATTTTGCATAAAATTTTCCTCTTTAAACAAAATGTTATTATTTTCGATCATTTTTAATAGCTAATAACTTTTAAACGAGTTGATTTTATACTTCAACTATTTTAAGATAGCAAATAAACTAATTAAAAAATATAGAATATAAGAAATTAAAATATGACATTTTTCCATAATGGCGAGCCAAATTTGGTATTTTTGTTTTGGAATTGAAATTTTGAAAAAGAGCAAAATGATCTCCTACTTACATTTTTTAAATAAGTTTTGCGTTGTGTTAAACAAAATCCCTAATCTTAATCCCTAATATTATAAGCAAAATCCCTAATCTTAAAAAACTAGGTTAAAAATTATTACAAATTAAATTGCCTGTTCATTAACACGTGGTACATAAACATTTTTTTAAAATTCAGTTGATTAAGAGCTACATTAAAAAGTTATAATATATCACAAAAAAAAAATTACAAGAAATCATTTTATCTATACTATAGAAGACCTTTTAATATTTTTAACTTATGACATATGTTACACAATCTCAATGGAACTAAGGCACATAACAAATAAACTTGTAAAAAAAAAAAGCCGATAATTTAAAACAAATCCGATTGGTGGCAAACCGAAAAAAATTTATTTAGGGATTGTCGATAAATTACGCAACGCAAGATATATTTAAAAAATTTAAGTAGGAGATCATTTTGCTCTTTTAAGCGGGGGCTTTTGATGGACTTTAAATGTTTTTTATATACTTGGTTTAATTAAAATCTCTGCGAGAGAAAATTTTTAATTCGTTCCCTTTTGTCTATTAGTTAAACTTCGTATTGAGTAATTTATGGACGATTCCTTATTGGTATTTAATTTATGCAAACAAATAATTCTAATTGGACGTAATCGCTACACAAATTATTCTTAAACCCATCGCTACACATATTATTCTTGGAAATAATAGTCTAACTCCAGTTATCATTAATATACTTAAAAAATACAATACAATCCCAAAGTATGCATGGACGTATGACAACTTTATTGAAATTTGTAATCAGAACCTCTCTCAGTTCTTCAAAAATTACACTTTTATTGGAGAAGCAATAGAAAAACAAACTCAAACAACATGTGAAAAAATAAATAAATCTGGCACTTTGTTTGGATCATGTTTTATAAAGTAAATTGGGTTGAAATCTTTGACAAAATGAGTACAAATCAATGTTATGAATACTTTTAAAAAATTTATGAAAAATCTTGCAAACAATATATACCACTAGTTCTATCCAAAATCCGTGCATTAATAAAAAAATCAAGAATCTAGTTGAAAAAAACGTAGTTTATGGTGCAGAGTTCGTGCTACAAACTTCAAGAATACAAACTTAAATAATGAATACAAACTTATCAATAAAACAATTAAAAAACAAATTAAAAAATCTACTTTTGATTATGAAATAAACTTAGCAAAAGATGTAAAACATAATCCAAAACGCTTCTATGCATATGCACAAAGAAAAAATCAGACACATACAAAATTGCTAGCACTTAAAACTAGTGACAACAAAATAATAACCGATAAAAAAAGTAGTTGCTAATCTACTAAATTGTAGTTTCCAATCAGTATTTGTCAAAGAAAATCAAGATCTACCATATTTCAGCAATAAAACAAGTCATTTATTTGAATGTGACTGGGACCAAGAACTAAAAGAAGATATTATATTTAATTATTTATTAGAACTTAATGAAAACAAGTCACTTGGTTGTGATAACATCAGTCCCTATGTGCTAAAGCATTCTGCTGAAGGATTATCCAAACCTTTGTCTTTAATATTCAAGAAATCGATACATTCAGGAGAGCTCCCAGAATTATGGAAATCTGCAAACATTACACCACTTTTTAAAAAAGGAGACAAGAAAGATCCTCTCAACTACAGACCTATCTCCTTAACATCGATACTAAGTAAGATATTAGAGAAAATAATTAGAAAAAAACTGATAATTTATATAACAGAAAACAATCTGTTAACGTCTCAACAACATGGATTTGAACAAAATAAAGGGTGCCTAACAAACCTATTAGAAACTTTCGATATTATTACAACTGAAATTGAAAATAGTAATCCAGTTAATATATTGTTACTAGATTTTGAAAAGGCGTTCAATAAGGTGCCCCACTATCAACTTATACGTAAAATTTCTAACTATGGAATTAAAGGCAATATTTTAAATTGAATTGATTTTTTTTTTAAAAACAGAAAACAAAGAGTGGTAATGGGTAAAGTTGTATCAGATTGGTGCGAGGTTTATAGTGGTGTACCACAGGGCTCTGTACTGGTTCCTCTTCTTTTTCTGTTATATATCAATGATCTTCCTTAATGTATCTCTTCAATCGCAAAATTATACGCTGATGATACTAAAATCATATCTGTTATAAAAGAACATAATGATCTAACTAATATGCAAAATGACATTGATTTGTCAACTGAATGGTCAAATGTATAGTTAATGGACTTTAACATAAATAAATGCAGTGTTATGCACATTGGAAGAAAAAATATTAACTATAACTACACTATAAAGCACGACAATCAAAGTTTTCTTTTAAAAACAACAACAAAAGAACTAGACTTGGGTGTAATAGTTTCATCCAATATGAAATGGAATCATCAGGTTCAAGTAGCTACAAGTAAAGCACAAAGAATCTTATGTTTAATAAGAAAAAGCTTTACTTATCTTAACACTGAAATGGTAAGGCAACTATACACATCGCTGGTTAGACCACACTTGGAATTTGCAGCTCCAGTGTGGAGTTCAAGAAATAAAAACAATATCAATGACCTAGAAAAAATTCAAAGACGAGCAACAAAGCTAGCCCCTGAACTAAAACATCTAAGTTATACCGAAAGATTGACCAAGTTGGGCCTCACAACTCTGGAAACAAGACGTATAAAAGGAGATCTCATTGCTTTCTTCAAATTAACAACTGGGATTGATAAGGTATTGTGGTATAAAGAGCCTAATAAAGCTTCTTCCCAGAGACTTTGAGGTCATCCAATGAAATTTGAAAGAGAATTTGCAAAAACAACACCGAGACACAACTTTTTTACGAACATATTTTTTTACGATACCTCATTGGAATGCTTTACCTGAAAATGTGGTTTCTGCAATGACAGTAAATTCTTTTAAAGCTAGACTAGATAAACATTTGTTAACGGCTGTTAAAGTATAAATTTTAAACTTTATGCTCCGCAACAATCGTCGTTACAGCAGTTTGTATTACTATTACTATTACTTTAGTAATGGAAGAATGTTTTCAAAAAAATAATTTTGCATTTACTCTAAATCATGGTGGACACCAGAAGTTAAATTATGCAAAGACATTCTCTCTTTCCATTTTAAGGAATGGAAAAAATGTAACTATAACAGATCACAGAAATCCATTTCATTCAATAAATACAAGCAAGCTCGTAAAAAATTTTGTAAAACTGTAAAAGCAGCTCAT